GGGCAGCCCCTGCTGCCGTTTCCAGCGGGACACCCCAGCGGGACTACGCCGGCCGCGGCCCCTCTGTGGTACTTGCAGCCACCCCCTCCCGCGGCCGCCCACCCCCCGCCACCGACGCTCCAACCACCGACACCCCCCCTGCCTAGCACGGGGGCACCCTCACCGACCGGCCTCCTGATTCATCAGGTCCGATTCCCGCCCTCCCCGTCGCCACTTCCAGCGTGGGTGGCTGGGTCTTCGCCATCGCCGGTCTACACCACGGCTCCAGAGCAGCCGACCCCGTTTCCGCAGTTCGGCGGGCCATCCAGCTCCGCGGGTCCCTACCCGGAGTACGTCGACCAGGCGCCTCCCACCTCGCTGCTCCGCACCTCTGAGCCAGCTCGACACGGCGCTCCGACCCAGACACCGCCACGGCTCGCCAAGATCGACTTATGCCACCTATGACGGCACGGAGGACCCCCTCAACTGGCTCAACCAGTGCGACCAGTTCTTTCGCGGGCAGTGCACCCTCGCATCGGAGCGTACCTGGCTCGCCTCGTATCACCTCCGCGGTGTGGCACGGACCTGGTATTACGCCCTCGAGCAGGACGAGGGCGCCATGCCTCCTTGGGAGCGCTTCCGCGAGCTCTGCCTCCTTGGCTTTGGGCCTCCGGTTCGCGGGAGCCGCCTGGCGGAGCTCGGCCGCCTTCCATTCACCTCCACGGTGCAGGACTACGCCGACCGTTTCCAGGCCCTGGCATGCCATGCGTCGGGGGTGACGGCGCAGCAGCGGACCGACCTCTTTGTCGGTGGACTTCCGGATCACATCCGCGTGGACGTGGAGCTTCGGGGACCCCAGGATCTCCAGTCGGCCATGTACTACGCCCGCGCTTTCGAGCGCCGCGCGGTGGCCATCCAGCAGGAATCACCGTCTCGGACCGCTGGGTCGCTACCCGGGCCGGATTCCGCACAGGGTCGGCCTGCACAGGCTTCTGCGGCACCACTCGCCGTGACCGCGGCGCGCCCGTTCCGCCGGCTCACCTCAGCCGAGCTACTCGAGCGTCGCCGCCAAGGGTTGTGCTTCAACTGCGACGAGCCCTACACGCCCGGCCATGCCTGCCCGCGACTCTTCTACCTGGAGGTTGCAGACTACATTCCGGAGGACGCCGTCGCCGCCGACCTAGCCGCCCCAGCTGTCGAGAAGGTGTTTGACGCTGGTTGATCACCTCGAGGAGTTCCGCCAGCGCTTCCCCACCCTACAGCTCGAGGACGAGCTGTTTGTGCAAGCGGGGAGAAGTGTTATGGCCGGTTTAGCTAGGCCCACCGGGCAATCTTAGCCCACAAGTTATCTTAGATTAATTCTTATGCAAGTTATCTAGGTTATAAATATAGGCTGTAAGACTCTTTTTGGAATCAAGCAATAAGAAGATTATTATCTCTATTGCCCGGCTCCCAGAGGAGCCGGAACCCTAGCCGCCTTTAACCCTAGCCGCCGCCGCCATCTCCCTCCTCTTCCGCGACGGCGCCCAACCGCCGGCGCGGCTGCTCATCGCCTCGCCCAACTCCCTCCTTCCCCTACTGCTTACGTCCCAGGCCTGGTAAGGTACAAGTTCCTACCAATTTGGTAATCAGAGACCAAGTTCCGATCATGTCGCTGCCACCACCACCGCCGGCGCTTTCCAGCGGATCCATCGTGCCGATGACGACGGCGCCGTCCCTCACCGCGCCGATGCTGCCGGCGCCGTCCCTCACCGCGCCGACGACGTCCCCCGCCGGATCAACCACGCTGGCGGGCCCCATCTCCACCGCGACCCCGGCCGCGCCATCCTCCACAATTCCTCCTGCGCCACCACCCTCCGCCGTATTCACACCGGAGCAGGTCACGGCCACCCTGCGGGACCTCGTCACCGCCGTCCAGAGCCTCTACTTGCAACAGCAGCAGTATGCGGTCGGGCCCTACATGCCCCTACCGACGGCGCCCCCTGCCACCTACGGCCACACGCCGTGGCCGCCCCAGGGCGTCTCTCCGACGGCGTGCCCCTCTGGCCCTTGGCGCCGACGCCGTCCTTGAGCCCCTGGCCGCTACAGCAGATGCCGCAGGCGGCGACCACCGAACCGCTGCAGCTGTTCTCCGCGCCGACCTGCACCGGGCAGCCCCTGCTGCCGTTTCCAGCGGGACACCCCAGCGGGACTACGCCGGCCGCGGCCCCTCTGTGGTACTTGCAGCCACCCCCTCCCGCGGCCGCCCACCCCCCGCCACCGACGCTCCAACCACCGACACCCCCCCTGCCTAGCACGGGGGCACCCTCACCGACCGGCCTCCTGATTCATCAGGTCCGATTCCCGCCCTCCCCGTCGCCACTTCCAGCGTGGGTGGCTGGGTCTTCGCCATCGCCGGTCTACACCACGGCTCCAGAGCAGCCGACCCCGTTTCCGCAGTTCGGCGGGCCATCCAGCTCCGCGGGTCCCTACCCGGAGTACGTCGACCAGGCGCCTCCCACCTCGCTGCTCCGCACCTCTGAGCCAGCTCGACACGGCGCTCCGACCCAGACACCGCCACGGCTCGCCAAGATCGACTTATGCCACCTATGACGGCACGGAGGACCCCCTCAACTGGCTCAACCAGTGCGACCAGTTCTTTCGCGGGCAGTGCACCCTCGCATCGGAGCGTACCTGGCTCGCCTCGTATCACCTCCGCGGTGTGGCACGGACCTGGTATTACGCCCTCGAGCAGGACGAGGGCGCCATGCCTCCTTGGGAGCGCTTCCGCGAGCTCTGCCTCCTTGGCTTTGGGCCTCCGGTTCGCGGGAGCCGCCTGGCGGAGCTCGGCCGCCTTCCATTCACCTCCACGGTGCAGGACTACGCCGACCGTTTCCAGGCCCTGGCATGCCATGCGTCGG